TTTCTGATGAAGGGTCTAAGCCTGAAACGTCAGCCTTCCTGCTCCTCTGATGCTGCTTGGCCTGCTGTGTTCATCCAGCTCTACACCTTGTTATCTCATGCATCTGGATAGAATGCTTTCTATTCTGCATCTGTAAAAATTGGTAATCGTCTTTATGAACATGCCAAACTTCCTCAGCCTCTTGAAAAAGTAGACGTATTGTCGTGCTTTCTTGACCGGAGCATCAACATGGATGGACCAGGATAGTTTGGGCACAGTCAAGGTATATTTCCTCCAAAGGGAACGGTAGGACAAACAAATAAAGAGCTCTCTAGATGGCAAAGGAGATAAAAAAATTAAAATAAAGAATCTAAACTATGCTTATGACAGATGTCAGGTAGTAAATGCAATTGAGAACCAAGATTATTACAGAGGGTTCAGAAAGCAGGTGATAAAACAAATATAGGAAACAAAGAGGGATTATGGAACAGTACTGTCAGCTAACATGAAAGGAAATCTATTGGCACATCAATAGTAAAAGGGTAACAAACGGAGGAGAAGGGCAGATTACGGACCAAAAGGGGGCTTTTCACTGTACTTAGCTACACATGACAATAAATGAATCAAATCATATCAAATTAAATCTTTTACACTTAGAAGCAAGAGTAAGAGCCGCATGAGTACTTTGTATCTGTCCTTACATATGCATGGTTTAAAAGGCAAAGAAAGGCGTGCTACCAAACAATATGCATTGACACCAGCATCACTTCTTTTCTTAATGCATTCCAAGATTATTTACTTCTTGAAGGACAAAATTGCACAGTCAATTTTCTCAAAACAAGTTCTGACAAATGGCCATTAATTTGCTTAAGGAAGTTCAGCAGGATATGAGAACAAGATCACAGGGAGAACTCCTAAACTCTTATTTAAATTGTACCATGGTATCTTTTGCGCCTACCCAATGACGGAATGGGACTGGATTGAATGTCGGTGGAGATACATGGGACTTCTAGAACAGCAACAACTCCCGAGTGCTGCACCGAAGAGGCAACCTAGATGATACTGCCAGGTTCATAATGGGGCAAATGTCTAGCTGAGGAACCATGATTTCAATGGTCTAGCACCTTTAACAGAGTAAAATGTCCCGAGGTCTTTCAAAGGAGTGTAACCAGGTGAAAAAGTAGAGGTGAACTACATTGAGGTAGATGATCAAAAAAGTTGGTCGATGAGATTGACTTCAAGGAGCCCATTAAAGAAGAAATGGCGCAGAAGTTAGGGAGGAAATTTAGTGCCTAGGCAACTGAGGACATAACCCCCAATGACAGAATGGAGGAAGAAGAGGATGTGCAAGAGGACAGAATCGGAGAAACATAATCTTTGAAGTACAGTGAGACCAGTTATTAAGCTGGCACTGGCAAATAGTCTATTTTTGTGACTGAGACCACAACGGGGCCTTGATGAAGTCAACATCAAAACACAGCCTTATAAAGAGTGCATGTTTGAGACGCTAAATCATGGCTTCCTTGTCTTTGTGAATGAGCAAGATAGCCTGGCATCTCACTGAGAATATATAAATTGCAGAACCTGTTGAGTATTCCAGCAACTTCTGATTTTGTAATTGCAGGACCGTGTTTGTGGAAGAGTTGGACTTGCTGGTGCTTGCTGCTGACAATGGGAATATTTACCTTTGGGGCTTTGATGATTCCCTTTCTGGTATCCTCAAGATGATGCCTTCAAAGAGGAGCCGAGAGCAGGATAACGCAAGGGTGAGGTAGCACTTGGAGATCAGCTACTGCAGGAAGCAGGCAGCTGGTACTATCATGGCTTGAGTTGTGATTTTCCTAACAAGAAAATCCATTGATTAATTAAGATTTGGAGGATTTGGTTTCATTTTGATTGTTGGCTGAGAGTTAGAGAAATATGACAGCCCTTGCCACATCACACGAGATTTCCTGATGCAGATCTAATGATATAAGCTTCATTGCAGTAGTACCATTGCCCTTTGGTTTACTACCGCTGGAAGGGATAGAGCTATCAGTGCATTGCAATTAAAATTTAGCCTTGCATAGGAATCATTGTTTTTTATCAGGGCGCTATGGAACAATAGAGGAATGAGTATAGAATGGAACAGTTTTGAGGATCAGGGTCAGCAACATGGAAACTCACAGAATTCTTGATGCTTTGAGGAATGTCCCTTAAGCATGGCTCAAAATCCCAGAAATCCCTCCCTAATGGCATCGTGGGTCCACCTACAGCAGTTCAAGATGGCAGCTCACCACCACCTTCTCAGGGACTGACAATAAATGCTGGTCCAGCCAATGATGCCCATGTACTGTGAATTAATGTAGATGAAGCAGAAATTTGGCCTTTCCTTTGAGAGATTTGAAGTCTTACTGGAGGAAACTGTTAACTGATGAAAAAGAGAATGGTTCGGGAGTTCCACAGGGATCAGTGCTGGCTCCACTGTTATTCGTCATTTATATAAACAATTTGGATGAGAGTTTAGGATGTATGGTCAGTAAGTTTGCGGATGACACCAACATTGTGGTATAGCGCACAGTGAAGAAGGTTATCTAAGATTACAAAGAGATCTTAATCAGGTTGGGCATTGGACTGAGGAGTGGCAGATGAAGTTTAATTTGGATAAATGTAAGGAACTGCATTTTGGTAAAACAAACAAGATCAGGACTTATACAGTTAATGCTGGGGCCATGGGTAGAGTTGTCAAACAGAGAGACCTAGGACTTCAGGTACATAGTTCTTTGAAAGTCACAGGTAGACAGGGTGGTTAAGAAGGCATTTAGCACACTTGCCTTCATTGCTCAGAACGTATAGGAGTATAGGAGTTGGGACATCATGTTGAGGTTGTACAGGACATTGGTGAGGCCACTTTTTGAGTACTACTTGCAGTTCTATTCGTCCTGCTATAACAAGGTTATTATTAAATTGGAAAGCATGCAGAAAAGATTTACAGTGATGTTGCCGTGACTGGAGGGTTTGAGTTATAAAGATAGGCTGGGACTTTCTTCCCTGGAGAAGAGGAGGTTCAGAGGTGACCTTATAGAAGTTTATCAATTCATGAGGGGCATGGGTAAAGTGAATAGCAAAGGTCTTTTCTCCAGGGTAGGGGAGTTCAAAACTAGAGGGCATATTTTTTCAGGTGAGAGGAAAAAGATTTAAAATGAACCTAAGAGGTATCTGTTGCACAGAGAGGGTGGTTTGCATGTGGAATGAATTGCCACTGGAAGTGGTAAATGCAGGTACAATTGCAACATCAAAGAATCCCTACAGTGTAGAAGTAGGCCATTCAGCCCATCAAGTCCACACCGACCCTCTGAAGAGCATCTCCCCCCTCTACCCTATCCCTGTAACCCTGCCTTTCCCATGCCTAATCCATCTAGCCTATGCATCCCTGGACACTACAGGCAATTTAGCATGGCCAATCCACCCAACCTGCACATTTGTTTGGATTGTGGGAGGAAACTGGAGCACCCAGAGGGGACCTACACAGACACAGGTAAAATGTGCAAACTCCACAGACAGTCGCCCAAGGGTAGAATTAAACCCAGGTCCCTGGCGCTGTGAGGCAGCAGTGCTAACCACTGAGCCACCGTGCTGCCCCAATTTGGATAGGCACATGAATAGGAAAGGTTTAGAGGGATGTGAGCCAAATGCAGGCAAGTGGGACAAGTTTAGTTGGGGAAACTTGGTTGGCATGAATGAGTTGGACCAAAGGATCTGTGTCAGTGCTTTATGGTTCTATGACTCTAAATGATTACGTTTCAGGTAACGGAAGAAAAGGAAAAAGAAACCAGGAAGTCCCTTTTGGCAGATTTTAACAAGGGAGAAGAAAAACAGAGAAAGAAAAAAAACAAATTTGTCAAACTGGGAATGTCACGCAGCACCCATTATCAGTCAAATACTTTGCTTTTTGAGGTGTACGAAGTATCCACTTTGTCTACAGCAAGTTCCACAAACACCAATGTGTCACTGAGCAGAGTTTTGTTTGAATGATGTTGATTAAGGGATAATTATTGGCCATGACATGGGGGAGTTGGGCCTGAACTCTTCAGTAGATCAAGGGGTTAAAAAGAACAGATCGCTATGTGAGTGAGTCAGGATAAACCTGCACTCACCCATTCTTCCCCAACACTCACCTCTTATCTAAGTTAGTATAAAGACTCTGATTACCAACTGATAATGAATTTTAAATTGGGCAACAGAGCAATCATTATTTTCATTTATGGCTTCCCCAGGAGCCAAAATGGCGGTCAGGAATCTTGCATACTACATTGTTTAAGGAAAAACTGAAGAGGCTCCTAGACCAAGTCTGAAACCTTTAGGCTACTGCATATTAACTAAGAGTCTTCATGTCTTCTTCAGGCCCCTGCTGCAACTTTGGTTTGCTGTTATCAGCTGACTCAGGGAAAAATCACCATTAAACTTGGTAGCCATAAAATAAGCTAATTACTTCCCACACACACCAGAAATTATAAAGACTCCAATCTATCCCTAATCCAGACCAAATTCCATCTCTGGATACCTAACCACTCCAAAACTTACCCTGCCACCCACGCGTCTCAATCCCAACTTCAAATCCCTCAGTTTCCCCCTGGTACTCCCAATCCTGGGGCTAATCCAAGGCTAATTACTCGGCACAAACCAGAAACCTGTGACACCGAGAGCATGGCACTTTCCACTGGAAATGGTCAAGTCACCATAGCCCTGCCGTCTAAGTCGAGAGAGATGATTGCTGGTGATTTAACCCAAGGGCACCATATCTCAGGTTGGGGGGGCGCGATTGAGAACTTGGGACCTTCATGGTAAACTCAGCTGCTATAGGAATCAAACCCATGTTGTTGTTGTCAGTCTGTATTGCAAACCAGGCCGTCCAGCCAACTGAACTAACCAACTCTAGTCGCCCCATCCTCAACACTTACCATTTGGGAGCAGGCAGTAACTCTGCAATGGATGGGGCCTTGAGTGGACATGCGTCAATTATTCCAGACTGTCTTAACACAGAATGTAAGGATTAACCGCATTAATCCCAATGGAGACAGGCGATAGATGGAAATCCAGTCATACTGGAAGAGTCACTGCAGCAACTCACTATTATGTCTCCTTGCAACATTCACTACCAAACCTGTGACCTCTGTCACCCAAGAAGGTCAAGGGCAGCAGAAACATGGGAACATCACCAGCAGTAAATTCCCCTCCAAATGGCACATCAGCCTGTTTGGGAATGATGTTGCCATTCCTTTGTTGTTGCTGGGTTCAAATCCTGCAACTCTCTTCCTAAAAGGACTGTGGGCATCCTTACCTCACATCAGCTACAGCAGTTCAAGAAGACAGTTCACCAGCACCTTCTCAAGTGTAAATAGGGATGGTCAATAAATTGCTTGCCTCTTCAGTGATGCCCATGTCCTATAAGAATAAAGAAAACTGAAACTCAAATGAATGTGGGTGTCTAAGTACTATTAAGTGCGGTTTTGCCGTTGTTATGAGGTTGAAGAGGCATAGAGATGTACAGCACAGAAACAGACCCTTCAGTCCAACTCGTCCATGCCGACTAAATATCCTAAATTAATCTAGTCCCATTTGCCAGCATTTGGTCCATATCCCTCTAAACCCTTCCTATTCACATACCCATCCAGATGCCTTTTAAGGTGGAAGGTGCAATTTGATACGACCTCTGTATTGTCTGAACCAGAAAGTGAAATTCACCTCCTACAACTGAGGAAAAATTTACTTTTGGACATTCTTTCTAGAGATTTGAAGTCTTACTGGATCAAACTGTTAACAGATGGTGCTCTGCAGCTGAGGAGGAAAATGGTTCAGTAAATGATCGAGTTTCAGGTAAAGGAAATGATTGAGAGTGTAATCAGGTCAGAATTATCATAGTACAATTTTCCCCTGAATACAATGACAACTATCTTTTATTAACGTGTGTTTAGATGTGGTCTTCCACACATAGAAATGACTTCTCTCCATTTTCCTTAAAAATCCTCACATAATCTTGAATAGATCAACCTTCAGTTTTCTTTTTCCCATTTTAGTCTTATTTTTAACAACTTAATTTGAGCATCTGTATTTTCCTAATATTGAGACCGCAACTGTTGACAATATTCCAAATGTGACATAACCAAGACGTTTGTTAAAGATTAACATTCCTTCTCTGCTTTGCTATTACATACTTTTTGAAATAAAGTTTATTTTTAATAGCCATATTAATCATTAATAGAATTTTGAATAATTTGTGTATCCCTTTGCTCCTGTACCCCTCTTAGACATTTACTTTGCAAATAATATCTGGTCTCCATGGTCTTTCCACCAGCATCAACCAACTTACCAATGGTGAAATGAATTTTCCAGGTATTAATGTATTTGCAACAATCTTCCTCATTAGTAATTGCGTCACTCAATTCAATTTCATCTCCAATTATTTGGTGCCATTTGCAAGTTTCCTTCAGCTGCCTGCACCACAAACTCTGCAATTTAATTTTTAAAGTTTAGCTTTTTAACTAAATTTAACTTTTTCCTTATTTCCCAGCTTTGTAACTAAGATTCTACATCTAGGTACCTTCCTACATAAGACAGCACCATGATTGGTGACTTGGAAACCTTTCACTGTACTCATGTGAATACATGACAATAACGCTAATTCAATTTAATTCAATTCCCTCCTCGGGTAACAGGTTAAAATTGTGAGTTTGTGAGTTCCAAGGCAGCAATGGTGAGCTCCTCTTCCAACCATCCTTTTCCCCTTCTCCTCCCCCACCCATTCACCATCGTGACAGTTTTCGAACCTCAAACTGAAGTCACAGTGAGAAATAGCTGATGGACTGGTGTAGACTTCCATTCTTTCAGTAGGCAATTTGAGAACAAAGAAAATTACAGCACAGGAACAGGCCCTTCGGCCCTCCAAGCCTGTGCCGATCCAGATCCTCTATCTAAACCTGTCACCTATTTTCCAAGGATCTGTATCCCTCTGCTCCCTGCCCATTCATGTATCTGTCTAGATACATCTTAAACGACGCTATCGTGCCCACCTCTACCACCTCCGCTGGCAACGTGTTCCAGGCACCCACCACCCTCTGCGTAAAGAACTTTCCACGCATATCTCCCTTAAACTTTTCTCCTCTCACCTTGAAATCGTGACCCCAGTAATTGAGTCCCCCACTCTGGGAAAAAGCTTCTTGCTATCCACCCTGTCTATACTTCTCATGATTTTGTAGACCTCAATCAGGTTCCCCCTCAACCTCTGTCTTTCTAATGTAAATAATCCTAATCTACTCAACCTCTCTTCATAGCTAACGCCCTCCATACCAGGCAACATCCTGGTGAACCTCCTCTGCACCCTCTCCAAAGCATCCACATCCTTTTGATAATGTGGTGACCAGAACTGTATGAAGTATTCCAAATGTGGTCGAACCAAAGTCCTATACAACTGTAACATGACCTGCCAACTCTTGTGCTCAATACCCCGTCTGATGAATGAAAGCATGCCGTATGCCTTCTTGACCATTCTGTCGACCTGCGTTGCCACCTTCAGGGTACAATGGACCTGAACACCCAGATCTCTCTGTGCATCAATTTTCCCCAGGGCTTTTCCATTTACCGTATAGTTCGCTTTTGAATTGGATCTTCCAAAACGTATCACCTTGCATTTGCCTGGATTGAACTCCATCTGCCATTTCTCCGCCCAACCCTCCAATCTATCTATATTCTGCTGCATTCTCCGACAGTCCCCTTCACTATCTGCTACTCTACCAATCTTAGTGTCATCTGCAAACTTGCTAATCAGACCATCTTTACCTTCCTCCAGATCATTTATGTATATCACAAGCAACAGTGATCCCAAACACGGATCCCTGTGGAAAACCACTGGTCACAGTTGTCCATTTTGAGAAACTCCCTTCCACTACAACTCTCTGTCTCCTGTTGCCCAGCCAGTTCTCTGTCCATCTAGCTAGTACACCCTGGACCCCATGCGACTTCACTTTCTCCATCGGCCTACCATGGGGAACCTTATCAAACGCCTTACTGAAGTCCATGTATATGACACCTACAGCCCTTCCCTCATCTATCAACATTGTCACTTCCTCAAAGAATTCTATCAAGTTGGTAAGACATGACCTTCCCTGCACAAAACCATGCTGCCTATCACTAATAAGCCCATTTTCTTCCAAATGTAAATAGATCCTATCCCTCAGTATCTTCTCCAGCAGCTTCCCCACCATTGACGTCAGGCTCACCGGTCTATAATTACCTGGATTATCCTTGTTACCCTTCTTAAACAAGGGGACAACATTAGCAATTCTCCAGTCGTCTGGGACCTCACCCGTACTCAAGGATACTGCAAATATATCTGTTAAGGTCCCAGCTATTTCCTCTCTCGCTTCCCTCAGTAACCTGGGATAGATCCTATCCAGACCTGGGAACTTGTCCACCCTAATGCATTTTAGAATACCCAACACTTCCCCCCTCCTTATGTCGACTTGACCTAGAGTAATCAAACATCTATCCCTAACCTCAACATCTGTCATGTCCCTCTCCTCAGTGAATTCCAATGCAAAGTACTCATTAAGAATCTCACTCATTTTCTCTGGACTCCTCGCATAACTTCCCTCCTTTGTCCTTGAGTGGGCCAACCCTTTCTCTAGTTACCCTCTTGCTCCTTATGTATGAATGAAAGGCTTTGGGATTTTCCTTAACCCTGTTTGCTAGAGATATTTCATGAGCCCTTTTAGCCCTCTTAATTCCTCGTTTCAGATTGGTCCTACTTTCCCGATATTCTTCCAAAGTTTCATCTGTTTTCAGTCGCCTCGACCTTATGTATGCTTCCTTTTTCCTCTTTTTTTTCCTGAATTTGAGTATGGAGTCATCTACAGTTGTGCGTATTCGTGTTCTCTGGAGATTCGAACAGAATTCACTCATTTGGAATCACAGCAGGGAATTCAGGGTAACGGCCTGATCCCCCACAGAGTTATATTTTGCACAACAAATTGGGTTTGATCTGAGTTTGATCCTCCATTGCCCTTTACTAACCACTCAGTCACTCACTCACTCACTGCAATCTTTTACTCCTTCAGGGTTTATCTGTAAGAAGGTGCTGTCTCACCATGTTCAGCCTGTGGGAGGAATTGCTGTGGTTAGGAGAGATCAAGGCTACAGCACAGATTACCTGGTGAGTTAACATGTTGCAGCTTCACCAATTTAATCTATTCCAAAGATAATACTTTGCTCAGTGGGATTTTCAGGCCAACTGGGTTAGAATGGGTCAGGGGTCACTTGGAACACACAAATAAACTGCCACATGAGCAGTGGAAAAGTCTGCCAGTATAGTGTAATGTTGTGTCTGGATAGTTGACCAGATAAGTTCATTTTAATCGAAAAAAGTTTAAAAATATGCATACTCTCCATTCCTTTTGAAGATGTGGTACAGTAACGCTCAGTAATACAGCTTCGTTACAAATTATTGAGCTGTTTTATTACATAGCAAGTTAGTTTACAGCACAACATTATGAGCAGTCTCACAATGCATCAATACAACTTATCCTTGTAAAATAAAAAAAAATGTTTTAATCCCCCACAATCTCCCTAAGCATAAAACATCTTTCTGAGTCTGGTGACAGCTTCCTTTGTGGTTATCTCAATTAATCATTGATTTGTGGCTTTTACTGAGCAAGACTCACTGATTTCACAGCACACTCATCACTCCTTGAAGTTGGAGTCACAGGTAGACAGGATAGTGAAGAAGGCATTTGGTACGCTTGCTTTTATTGGTCAGTGCATTGAGTATAGGAGTTGGAATGTCATGGTGTGTCTGTACAGGACATTGGTTAGGCCACTTTTACAATACTGCATTCATTTCTGGTCTCCCTACTAGAAAAGATGCTGTGAAACTTGAAAGAGTTCGGAAAAAAATTACAAGGATGTTGTCAGGGTCGGAGGGTTTGAGCTATAGGGAGAGGCTGAATAGGCTGCGGCTATTTTCCCTGGAACGTCAAAGGCTGGTAGGTGACCTCACAGAGGTTGATAAAATCATGAGGGGCGAGGACAGGATGAATAGTCAAGGTATTTTCCCAGGATAGGGGAATCCAAAATTAGAGGGCATATGTTTAAGGTGAGAGGGGAAAGATTTAAAAGAGACCTAAGGGACAACTTTTTCATGCAGAGAGTAGTGCATGTATGGAATGAGCTGCCAGAGGAAGTAGTAGAGGCTGGTACAATTACAACATTTAAAAGGCATCTGGATGGATATATGAATAGGAAGCATTTAGAGGGATATTAGCCAAATGCTGGCAAATGGGACTATATTAGTTTAGGATATCTGGTTGGCATGGATGAGTTGGAATGAAGAGAGACAACAAGGTGCAGGGCTGGATGAACACAGCAGGCCAAGCAGCATCATAGGAGCAGAGAGGCTGACGTTTCGGGCCTAGACCCTTCATCAGAAAAGGGGGAGGGGAAGGGGGTTTTGAAATAAATAGGGAGAGAGTGGGAGGCGGATAGAAGAGGGATAGAGGAGAGGATAGGTGGAATGAAGAGTCTGTTTCTATGCTGTATAACTCTTTGACACTTTGCCACAGAATGTGTGGAATAAGTTAATGAGCCAAGCGTTTGCCAGAGACCCTGTCAGACAAAATATTTCATGTCCCCTTCTGAAACTAGCATCACGGAGCTCTCAGTGGGAAGAGACATTCCAAGGTCATGAATATTTACTGGGAGCACGAGAAATTAGAATTGCCGGGATGGATATTACAGACAACTCACAGAGGTGGGAGGTGAATTCGGATATTTAGATCTGTAGATTAGTGCACTGTGCCATCAGCAGTGTCTCTATCACTGGTCAACCTGGCACCCCCCCACCCCCCATCAAACATTTGCAAGCAATAGTTCTGAGTATCAGTAACCACCCATCCATAGTTCAATTGAGGTCTTTGAGTAGGCAACTAGTGCCCAGTTAATGGCTTCATGCAAAGAATCACTCCAATTTAATAAGGGTAGAAGGGACATGTTTGCAAAATGTAGCCTGGCTTGTTTAACCCCATGGTCTATTGCTGAGTGAAGTGAATTGTGGAGTTGGAGCTGTATCCTTCCTGAGCTCCTGTGTCGATCAGTGGCCACCTCCATGAACACCCCCAACCCTCTCCACCCCACCCCCCACCGTTAGTGTTTTGACTGCCCATTTCCCCTCTCCACCACGGCATGTTACCCCGACTCTGCACTGGAGGTAATCCATGACTTCTCATTCTCAGGCCGCCTGCAATGCTGGCAATGGCCACAAGTCCTCGGCGTGCTCTCGAGCTACCTGCCTCTGATTGGCTGTCAGTGTTATGAGAGAAGATATCTTCCTGGAGATGGATGTCTGTCCTGTCTCTTACTAATTGAACGCCATCACCTTAAAAGTTAAAGTCGGCTAATTGCATTTAGATTGAGGGAGCCCACCTTCAACCTATAATCCAGCCATAGACTCCCATAATGTCTCTGATAAGAATAAGAACATGTATGCCTTTTTTTTAATGCATAGCCCTCACATGGGGCAGTGATGACCTAGTGGTATTATCATCGGGCTGTCAATCCAGAGACCCAGCAAATATTCTGGGGAACTGGGTTCTAATCCTGCCTTTGCAGAAGGAGAAATTTAAACTAAGTATGAAATATCTGGAGCTAGAAGTGTAATGATAACCATAAGCCTGTTGCCAATTGTCAGGAGAAAGGCCCATTTGGTCACACTAATGTACATTAGGGAAGAAACCTGCCATCCTTATTTTGGTCTGGCCAACATGTTACAGCAATGTGATTGACTCCTAACTTCCCTCTAGGCAATTCGGGACAGGCAGTAATGACGTCATTGCGTGACTGAATATAATATAATGCATATGATCATTTTAAGCATGTGTGAATTCATTTTGCTTTAAATAGGCCATAAAGCACAGTGTGAACCCAAGCTGTTCCTTGCAGTGTTTGGGGGCACAGCATAGATGGAGTTTTACTCTTTCCCCTGAGTGGTGTGTCACAGAACCTTGTACAAAAACCGAACTGTACGTTTACCTTGTTGTCAAGGTAAGTAGTAAACCCAAAGTTCTTTCTAAGCTACGCAGATGCAAAGCATCCCAAATGTTGTTCCCGCCAGGCTGGTCCCTTTGAATTATAGTCCAAGCAGAGCCATATTCATTAAAAAAGCAAAATGAATGGCCTAAGCTCTTAAATAAATGGCAGACTATGTGGCCGTTTCCTGTTTTGCCAGATCTCGGGTGGCTGGGACAGGAGAATTTGTGTGTGGGATCTGCAAGTGGGTATGTTACATAACACATTCTCCAACACTGCACCGGAAGAGAGGAGCAATATTCAAGAGCTGGCCTGTGATGGTGCTATTTTAGATCTTGCCTACTGCCCAAAGTGGTGAGTTAATGAGCAACCAAATCTAGACTATTGAGATCAAACCTGTTATCCAGGCACCTTGGTACACGAAACTCTTCCATCCATTATTAATTGATTTGGTTACCTGCTGAAGAATATAGGAAGCTCATTGATCAAAGTACTCAAATTAATTTAGTTGTCTAAGCTGTACATTCCCCCGAGGAGACAAAGTTCATACGTGGCCACTTGTCCAGTTCCCTATGTTTATAGAGCTTCCCTTTGTGTAAATCCTTCGGTCATTCACCATACTCACTTAGCTCCGCTTCTCCCTTTCCTTGCATTGATTCACCTCCCCAACTCCTCATTTCAAGCTCCTACTTCTCTCACTCCCAAAGGAAAGCAAGTAGGTCAGTTAATGAGACGTATAGGCCAGGGCATAAATGACAGAGAAATAAGGAAGGACAGACGTGTCAAAGTAAATTCATTTGACACAAGAAATGAAACCAGAAATTGAGACAGCCCAGAGAGCAAATTAAAAAAAATCAACTCAAAACAACAGCATGAAAATGAGTCCAATACTCCACTATTTTTAGTATCCCACAATGAACAGGTAATAAATGTTTATCCGTTTACTATGGATACAATCCAAATGTTTTATTATGAGCAAACAAATAACAGGTAGCATGGTCCATGTGACAGGCCTCAAATAAACAGACTAATTTGTGTCTCACAAGCACAAGGTTTATTACAAGCTGACTCACTTTTCTATAGACGACATCAATTAAAGAATCCACCTTGAAGTTAGTTAGCAATGAACTGTTTGTCAGTTTTTCCTCCGCTTCAGTGTCCCAGGTCAGATGCTGAATTGACAGATAACTTTGAGGTGTCCTAAAAATTAGCCTTAAATTTTAGCTGATAATCCTGACTAGATGTATTTCAGGAGGTTTATTTACATTATACACCCATTGTTTCTAAGCTTAACATAAAGTCCCGCCTATTCATAGCCAGCAGAAGATAACTGCGTTATCTGATTGATGATTCGGAGCCACCTTCGCCATCTGCAATATTTTTGTTAGTGGTAAACAGTGGGAAAAATAACAACAAATTTCAGTGTTTTCATGATTCTTCCCCTGGGATTGTTTGCACTTGTATCCTGAAAATTAATCTTTAATTCCCAGAGATACATCTGGTGCTGAAGGATTTCCTTCGATTAAATATTGTGAGGAATGAAGACTTGTCTTAAATCTGCACCATAGCCTCTGACTCCCACTCTGCACCTAGTGCAGAACCAGACAGTTCCCTAACTTTGACTCTGAGCTGAGCTTTTGACCGCCACCCCACTCCATCACAAAAATTACTGAAGTACAATCATTAAATCCCTACAGTACAGAAACAGGCCATCAGCCCATCGAGTCTGCACTAACCCTCTGAAGAACATTCCACCCAGAACCCTACCTTATCCCCATAACCCAGTACTTTACTATGGTTAAATCACCTGGCCTATTCATCCCTAGACAATTTAGCATGGACAATCCACCCAACCTACACACTGTTGGACTGTTAGACGAAACTGGAGTACCTGGAGGAAACCCACGCAGTCACGGGGAGAGCGTGTAAACTCCACACAGACAGTCATCCAAGGTCTAAATGGAACCCAGGTCCCTGGTGTTCTGAGGCAGTAGTGCTAACCACTAAGCCTCATACAACTCCCATATTATCATCTATTTCTACCTTGGCCCTCCATCCTTCTGCTGCTGAAACTATCTATAGTCTCGCCTCCAAGACCGGCTACTGTGTTTCCAAATCCTCCCGCCATCTCCCGCAATGTCTGATTTGCCCATATCCCTGCTGCCCTTATTACTGGCCAGTTGTCTATTGGCCCTCCATTGCTTGTGTGTTCGCTAACTTACATTGATACCCAACATGTCAAATTGAAAATGCTCATCCTCGCATGCAAAGCCCCATATGGCCTCGTCCTCCTTATCCAGTGACCTTTGGTCAAAGTTGTCGGTGATTTGTGCAACGAGACAACATCACAGGATATACAGTGTTGGCCCCTCATTAGTTGTGCGTTTCTAAAATAAAAAAGTAAAGCTATCACACATTGTAAGGGACAGGCTGTGTACGATTAAAAGTATTTTGAGACAACCACTCCTCCAGCTCTAAGGTTTCTGCTACGTTTTGGTGGGATGTCAAAGCGACCTCTGAAAAATTGAGAAGGCAGGCTTCATGGGAGGCCTGCCACAAGTGCTTATTGTCACGTAGAAGATAATTTTTAAAAAATGATTAACACAAGAAAGAACATCGCCCACCCAGTCCCTCACACTCTCCATGCCCCATCGATGCCTGCTCATGCCTCTACCCATAATGCATCATAATCTCCATGTCAACCCAGGCTCCTCTCCCCACTGTCATGGGCCCTCATATTCTGATGTAACCCTATGTGGTCCCCGACTCGTGTCCCATGACTTGCTAATGGGTCCGAAGATTCTGGCCCAGACATCAAGGGAACACAACATTATAGACAGTTCCATTAAACGTAGTACACAGTTATTAAACTACTAAGCAATAGCACAAACTCAGAATGGCACTCGTTAAGATCTAGAGACTCTCTCAGTTGGTCAATCTTCATAGAATCCCTACAGTGTGGAAGCAGGCCATTCAGCCCATCAAGTCCACACCAACCCTCTGAAGAGCATCCCACCCAGACCCATCCTCCTACCCAATCACTGTAACCTGTAATTCCCATGGTTAACCCACCTAGCCTGCACACTACAGGCAATTTAGCAAGGCCAATCCACCTAGCCTGCACATCTTTGGACTGTGGGAGAAAGTCGGAGCGCCTGGAGGAAACTCACACAGACACAGGGACAACATGCAGACTCCACACAGACCGTTGCCTGAGGGTGGAATCAAACCCAGGTCCCTGGTACTGTGAGGCAGCAGTGCTAACCACTGAGCCACCATGCCACCCCTGTAGAATGTTTGTGATAGTCTGTCAACAGATCTCCAAGCACACCTACAGGACATCTGAGCAAACTGCTCTACCCATTGCAATGACCAGTTGTTTGCAAAGTCATTCTTTATCCCATTTTCTTGTTATGACTTTGTGTCATAACTGCTTTTGGGCAATGTAACTGTCTTTTTTACATCACTATCTTGTGTGAAACTGTAATCTCTCAGTTCCAATTTCAAGGCTACGGTTGAAGAAGCATGGGCAGTTTTTCTTTTATTCATTGACAGGTTGAGGGCACCATTGGCCAGGCTGGCATTTATTACCCATCCCCAATTGTCTAGGGAGTTATCTCTAACACTTTTACCAATCTCCAATGAACTTGGCGTTTCCATAATCACACATTTTTTATCCTCACGGTTTCAACACCGTTTTTAAAAAATTGATTTCAGACTTTGGCAAATCTGTGACATGTTCAAATTTTGCTCTTTGCCCATTTGTTCTTAAACCCACGATGTGGTTCTTCAATCAGGGACCAATTTCTCCTTCAATGTTCCATTGTACCACCATGAGATAAACTCAGCCTGCAGGACTCCACCATAATTTGTTAACATTCTTTCAAATATGAAATAAAGACAAGAATATGATACGATTCAAAATGATTAGCACAGTACAAGAGTCAATAATATTTAAGACAGAGATAGATTCTTGATTGGCAAAGGGATGAAAGGTTACGGGAAGAAGGCAGGAAAATGGGTTGAGAAGTGTTTCAGCCATGGTCAAAAGGCAGGGCAGACTCAATGGGCCAAATGACCTAATTTTGCTCCTATATCTTATGGTCTTGTTTACAGAGATTTTATGCGTGTGTCATTGCGCTTGCTTTTGTCTGTATATGCCAGTGCAATTATGTGGGAGAGCATGGGCTTACTTGCCGCTATGCCAGTCTGTATCCACATTCATCTCCATGACCTATTCTCACTCCTAAGCAAATTTAGTGACAACCTATACCAACACTTACCTCCTACTCATCCCTCTGGCCCAACATAATCCCTATCCCAACTTTGTGCCAACTCATTTCCAACAAACATCCAACTCACCATCCATCAGCTTTCGTCCATTGCCCCTCCATGCCAACTCACCTGATATCTGCCCTGGGCAGCTCTCAGAGCATAAAATAAAGTTATCTGTCTGTTGATGACATCACTTTTTAAAATAAAATCAATACATTGAAATTCCTTCGACTATCTGATTATGAAAACAAGTTTTACTTAAGTACTTAATCCCTTACTTATTGCTATGGTACAAATATCTGTGTTAAACCATTCTAAAATGCAACAATTATTGGATTCTTTCACCATAAGTGCAGCAAAGTTCAAGGAATAAACCAGTCAACATCACCATAGCAAGGCTGAGTAAGGATGGGATATAAATGCCTGCTCTGATAACAAGAATGAGTAATGAGCAATAAACTCCCAAGCCTTTGTGAAAATAAAATTAACCATTCTTCAGTTCAGTAGCCTAACCCATAGGAGATCTACATGAAATCCATTTCATAGATTAAAGTCAGAATACAATAAATATTAATCCTCAGCAAATAATTTATAACAAAATTTACAAAGCAAACAAGCCCAGTTTGCTCTTGTTGTCATTAAATATTATTTTGATTGATTGTGACGAATAAAATGCTTGCTCAGTGTTGGAAAAGGAAATTCGCACACTGTCCCTTTGTTGTCAGGAATGAATTTGCCTATTCATCGAGTGATGGGATGATCTACGTTCGCCACTTCAGCCCCATCACAAGTGAAATGAAGCTCATGAGTGTGCTGCAGGGTCATGAGGCTGATATCACTGCTGTCTTGTGGCATTCTCTCTTAAACAAGTGGCTCAGTGGTTCAGAGGATGGGAGTATTTGCTTATGGGTAAGTTCCTTAAGGGAACATTTTATGCAAGGCTGCTCACAGTAGCAGTTCCAGAGCGGGGCCAATAGAGATAAAAGAAATGCTTGGATTTATATAACACCTTTGATAACCTCAGGAAGCCCCAAGGTGCTGTACAGCAATTAAATAATATAGTTACTGCCAATAATAAGAGTAAAATGCAGCAGGCAGTTTGCACTTGACAAGGTTCCACAAGCATTAATGACATTTCAAGAAAAAACAGGTTATCGGTTTTAATGGCTGAAGATTAAATATTGGCCAAGACTTAAATGGATATCTCCTCTTCCTCTTCAAGTCGTGTCGTGGTATTCTTTTCCACATTTGAGAGGGCCATTTCATTAAAAAAATGCCACTGCCAACAATGCAGCGATGTCTCAGTACGGCACTGATGCGTCAGACTAGATTATAAGCCCAAGGTTCCAGAGTGGGCTCATATCTGTGATTCGCAGGTTTAGGAGTGAGTGTGCCACCTGAACATGAGCAAAATACAGACAATACCAAAACTTCTTTACCAACTCTTTGGGCAACACAGAGGTTCACTGTTGCCTCACAGTGCCAGGGACCTGGGTTCGAGTCCAGCCTTGGGTGATTGTCTGTTTGGAGTTTGCACATGCCCCCTGTGTCAGTTTCTTCCGAGTGTCTGGTTTCCTCCTGTCGCCCAAAGATGTGCAAGTTAGATGGATTGGCCATGCTAAATTGCTGATAATGACCAAAGATGTGTAGATTAGGCGGATTAGCCATGGAAAATGCGAGGATAGGGTGGGGAGGGGGTGGATTTGAGTGGGATGCTCTTCAGAGAGTCGGTGTGGACTTGATGGGCTGAATGGCCTGCTTCCACACTGTAGGGATTCTATGAATTCACATTTAGCTGAACTGTGAAATGATTGTCTCCAAAACTGGGACAGCGAAAGGACTTGGAGCTAGGTTAATGTACCTCAACGATTAAACAGCTGCTTTTTTTTAACAGAATAAAGACGGAACAAAATGTGAGCAGAGCCTGGTGGCACACGGAGCCGTTAATTGTCTCTGTATCGACCGGGTCAATGGATACATTCTGGCTGGGATTCAGGAGAGCTTGAGGTAAGACTTTGTGGATCAGTATTGTTATGAACAATTAAAGCAGAGTATGTTAGAGAGATCCATTTCAATCTGACTATATCACTGGTTTGTGCCTTCTGCTCATTACCCGCGGGTGGTTAGGCACTAATCTCCAATAGTCTAATCAGTAAGATACAACCAAACTTCTGAGGACAGTTCTGTGGAAGGGTCACTCGACCCGAAATGTTAACTCTGATTTCTCTCCACAGATGCTGCCAGCCCTGCTGAGCTTTTCCAGCAATTTTTGTTTTTGTTTCTGGTCTGGCCTGTGTAAGGGGCTAAAGACCTGGAATACTAGGAGTCTGTTCAAGTCAGAAAAGGCAGGATAGGGACAGCTGTGGTGTGCCTGAACATCTGATCAGTTCAGCAAGGCACCAGAGAATAGGTTAAGGGTACATGTTCCATTCCAGACAGTGAGCATAAGAATTGAACGTGACATTTCAGTACAGTGCATTGTCAGAGCTGCCTTCCTTCAGAGTGGGTGTTGAACTGAGATCCAATCTGCCTGCTCAATCAGATATAAGTGACCCCACTGCACCATTTTGAGAAGTAGGAAACTTTTGCCCAGCCTCATGATTAATATTTATCCTTCAGTTGTTTTCATTAACTGGTTATTAGTTCTTTGCTTACCGCCCCCTTAAGTGCAATTTTACAGCTGCATTTTCTACATTACCGCAGCATACTTCCAAAAAAAAGCAGTCCATTGGTTTGAAAGGATGTCCTGTCGTTGTTAAAGATTTACCATGAATTTAAATCTTTCTTTCCATCTTTTGAGGGTGCTGTTATACCAAGCCCCTCCTCTCTCAAGCGGGCATAAAGCAACGCATGGCCATATTTTTGAAAGGACCCCGAGGGAGTTATGCCCTGCATCCTGGTCAATATTTGTCCCTCAATCATCATTACCGATCATTTCTATTTTAGAAACTGTTTTGAGTCATTTCCACATTGTTGCTTGTGGGAGCTTGCTGTGTCAAATTGGTTGTTGCTTTCCTGATATTATGGCAATGGCTGCCCTTCAGAATTGCATCATTTTCTGTAAGGTGCTTTGTAAAATCCTTCTTTTTTCCTCAAATATACTTTACCCATAAACTATATAAAAGTATGTTAAATGACAGTTAAATGTTGACATTACATAAAGAACAGTATCTTTCAGTCCAGTATTTGGCACTCTGAGATGTCTTACTGCACTTATTAATTTCATGTCAAATCATACTGCCTGGGTTTCTTTTTAACACAGATTCCAGACCCTTTGTGTAATATGGCTGATAGGCCTGTGACAGTGGCCTTTCCCCATTGTGCCTTTGCAGAAGCTGCCCTCCCTCTTAGCTCATCCTTCAGCATTTAGTCCCAGACCCTGCGATATGCCAAACTGAAATGCCTGGGCACTGACAACACCCACTGACAACAAACCGACAAGATTCCAGCAGTATCCAGTTCACCCATAACCCATGTCGCCTCCCAGTCCAGTAGTGCCTCAATTTGAAGTGCTTATCCTAGTCTTCCAGTCCCTCCATGGCCTTTCCCCTCCCGATCTGTAACCAGCTACAACACTTTGAGATATCTGAGCTCCTCCAAATCTGACCTCTTGTGCCATTTGCTTTTCTATTGCTGTATGAGTGACAGCTGTACTTTCGTAGTCATAGAGTCATGGGGTCGTACAGCATGGAAACAGGCCCTTTGGTCCAACCAGTCCATGCCAAAACATCATCCCAAACTAAACTAGTCCCATCTGCCTGCACTTGGCCCAAATCCCTTTCCTATTTATGTTCATCTGGCACCACATGTGGATATAATGGCATAGGTTGACTATCTAGTTTGCTGACCTTGAACCAAGTTTTATAAAGGCGGTCGTTTTGTTGAGCTAGCAATTCTTTCTCTAGTTAATTATGTTTAACAAATATTTCCTCAGAGTTTATGACCCAGAGTCCTTTGTACAAGTGCAGAGAAACATTGGGCACACAGATTCAATCCGCTCCATCATACACATCCCTGAGAGAGCTCAGGTGGGTTAGCCCTTTCAAGACCAATATTTTTCTTTGATGTATTTTGTTTGTGTATATTTTCTGCTCAGTAATTAAGGTGTCAGTGTTAGAGACTAGGGCCCTTTTCCAGGTGTCCATTGTCATATGAAATACTCCTGGGGCACAGAAAGCCTTAAGTATGAATTAACGATCAAGCACTGTCAGGGAAGGTAGGTACAACACAGATGGGACACAAAATAAAAAAAACGCCTTACATTGTCCCAGGACATGTACAGTACCAGTTACAAACTGAATTAAATATCCTTCTATAATATCTGATCAAACAATCCCAGAACTTGGGACTGCATTGGTTACACACAGATAAAGCCACACTGCCAGGACAGGTAAAGCATAGGCTAGGTAGAAAATAAAGGTTTCTCTATACTGTCCAGACACTCTCAGATCTAGTGCAGAGAATTGGTTAGTTACAAAGTGAAGGTCCTCTTAAGCTCACCAAACACCCCCAGGTAATGTCATAAAAGTTTTCATAGAGATGTGACCACTGATCAGTAAGCCTAACGTTACTGGTGAGGAAACAGCTGGACACAATAATTGGAGCCATTATTAATTGCTACTTAGTAATATATAGGTTAATAAATGAAGACCGACATGGACTTATTAAAGGTAATTGTTATTTCTCAAATTTAAGATTGAGTTCTTTGATAAAGTAGCAGTAAAACATATTACAGTTGATGTCATGATTAGCAACTTTGAGAAGGTTCTTGATCAAGAATCAAATAATGACTCTGTCTGCAAAATTAAAGTCCGTGGAGTAAAATATACATTTGGAGCATGGGTATGAAATTTGGTGATAGACTGGAAGGTGGTGAAAGGTCAGATGCCCATGGGTTCAGTGTTGGAACCACTGCTGTTTTTGATACACTTCAACGACTTAATCTGGAGTATTGTGGCATCATTCTGAAGTTTTTAAGAAAAATCTTTCTAGAGAGGAGCAAGGAGCTCATGGGGCAATATAATAAAATTATCTAAATTCAGAATGGGTTATTTACAGAGTAATTCAGGGTCAACTGTTTCCAGTCACAGGAGGGTCTGTAATTGTAGAATACAGCATTAAGTTAGTTGGCAAAAAAAATCAGTTGGGAGAATGCCTTTTACTCAGTGAGTTGTCATGATTCAGAATGTCCTTCATTGCTCAGACCTTTGAGTACAGGAGTTGGGATGTCATTTTGAGGTTGTACAGAACATTGCTAAGGGCTCTTCTGGAGTACTGTGTACAGTTCTTGTTGCTCTGTTATTGGAAGGATATTATTAAGCTGGAGGGAGTTCAGAAGAGATTTACAAGGATGTTGCCAGGAATGGAGGGTTTGAGTTATAAGAAGAGGCTGGATAAGCTGGGACTTTTATCACTGAAATGTATGAGGTTGAGGGTTGACCTTAAAGAGGTTGATAAAATCATGAGGGGCATGGATAATGTGAATGACAGGTGTCTTTTTCCCTCGGGTTGGGGCTTTCAAGACTAGGGGGCATATTTTTAAGGTGAGAGGAGAAAGATTTAAAAACAACATGAGAGGCACTTTTCTTTTTCCACAGAGAGTGGTGCGAGTGTGGAATGAATTCCAGAGGAAGTGATGGGTGCGAGTACAGTTACAATGGTTAAAAACATTTGGATAAATACATGAATAAGAAATGTTTGGAGGGACATGGGCCAAGTGCAGGCAGATGGGGCTAGTTTAGTTTGGGATTATGGTTGGCATGGATTTGTTGGACAGCAGTGTCAGTTTTGCTGCTGTATGAGTCTATGACTCAGTTGCCTGAGAAAGCGGTGAAATCAGGTTCAATAGGACCTGTCAAAGGGGAAAGGTGTGTAGAGCTGAAATGGAGGAACTGGGGAGATCCGGTTGAGTCGAACAAATTTGAGCGCTCGTTTAGAAAGTCAATATCTCTTAAAGCAGCTCAATCCAGTTAATAAAAATAAGCTGTGCCATCAACGAATCTGTTCATCCTGTCTCTGTTCTTTTTTTTGTGAACTAAATTAAACCTGTGATATCTAGTTACCAACTCTCCTGCAGTACAGACAGTTTCTCCCTCTTTACCTGATCAAAACACTTTGCAACTTCAATGCATTAAATCTCCTTTTTTCATTAACCATTCAACACTAATATACTTCTTTTCCAGTATGTTACTGCTTCTTGGGATCGCACACTGCGTATCTGGAATTCTTACATCAAGCCTCCCAACAGAAGCAACAACATGAGGGAAAATGCAGCATGCTGAGAGGAAACAGCGACGGGACATCAAACACATTTAGCAACTGTGTTGAAATTGCTGTCATCAAGTGAGACATGAGATGAGCAGTGTTTTGTAAATTGTAGTCACGTGAACGCAATGACGAGGCGAGCAGGTCACAAGTTGGGTATTCTCTTAACTTGCTTCCTGATTCACCAAAGCCTTTCCGCCATCCATGAGTCAGAAGATGCTGCGGGTTTTGTCAACAGAGCGTCATAAATCCATGACCTCTACTGTCTTAGAAAGACAAGGGCCACAGTTGGATAGGTACCTCATCACCTCCAAGCTCCTGACCAAGTCATGCATCATCCTGAATATATTGCTATTCCTTCATGTAGCTGACCAAACCTGAAAACAACACTGGAGGTAAGTTCATCACATGCAGTGCAGAGGTTACAAAGGCAGCTCACCTTTACCCATCTTCACAAAGACAGCACAGTCGATAAATAAGTGTCTTGCCTTGCCGAAGCACATTCCAAAAATTAATTTTCTTTAAATTGTGAAGAACCAGAGTGAAGATGCAAGGCCTTGATTACAGACTGTCAGGAAGTCTGGGAAATGTACAAAAATATGCAAGAGCAAGAAGATGATGGCAAAACTTTAAAAAATACATGTTTGGCTCCAAATGGTGTCCAGTCTTGGCTGAATGCTACTGGAAGGATGTGAAGACACTGAGGATATAGAAAAGATTTACAAGAATAGGGAGAGGCTGAATAGGCTGGGGCTATTTTCCCTGGAGCATTGGAGGCTCAGGGGTGACCTTATAGAAGTTTATAAAATCATGAGGGGCTTGTATAGGGTAAATAGACAAGATCTTTTCCCCAGGATAGGGGAACCCAAAACTAGACGGCATCGGTTTAAGGTGAGAGGGAAAAGATTTAAAAGGGAACTAAGAGGCAACTTTTTCACACAGAGGATGGTGTGTATATGCAATGAACTGTCAGAGGAAGTGTTGGAGGTCGGTACAATTACAACATTTAAAAGGCATCTGGATGGGTCCATGAATAGGAAGTGTTTAGAGGGATATGGGCCAACTGTTGGCAAATGGGACTAAATTTATCGAGGATATCTGGTCAGCATGGACGAATTGGACTGAAAGGCCTATTTCGTGCTGTACGTCTTTATGACTCCAAGATATTTCAATGATGAAGTTAAAACAGATGAAGCTGGGAGTGCCGGGAAGATAAGGTTGATTTTTGATCTGGGTGCTCAAGATCATGAGACGTCTGGATAGAGTAGATGCAGAGAAGCCATTCCCATGGGCAGAAGGGTCCAAGAACTAGAGGACACCGTAGGTGAATGAATCAGAGGGTACACGAGGAAAAATCTCCCTCTTTACAAATCTCATTGGTATGATTGAGAATTCACTGCCTGATGATGACACATTCAGTCATGGTTTTCAAAAACAAATCGAGTCATTATCTAAAGATTACCAATTGCAGCGCTATGGACACAAGGTAAAGGAGTGGGACCAGGACTTGCAGAGAGCTGGCATGGAGAGAGCCTGTTGTCATAACCGTTCTGATTTTCAAAAGACTGTTGCAAGGCAGGAGGCAGTGCTTAACAGATATAATTTGCTTCATAGAAAGTGCTTATAATTGCCCCTCTTTTTGACTGGAGTTTTTCCTGTTACTGTGTTTGCTTCTCAACCTTACTAACAGTTCACCGAAGCCTACACTGCCCCATGGCTTAATGGGTACTTCAGCTCTGGTCAACAGTGAAAGGTCAGGTAAAAACCGAAAGAACTGCGGATGCTGTAAATCAGGAACAAAAACAGAAGATGCTGGAAAAGCTCAGTAGGTCTGGCAGCATCTGTGAAGAAAAAAATCAGAGTTAACGTTTCAGGTCCAGTTCTGAGGAAGGGTTACCAGACCCGAAACGCTAAGTCTGATTTTTTCTTCACAGATGCTGCCAGACCTGCTGAGCTTTTCCAGCAACTTCTGTCATTTGTTCACTAAAAGATCAGGTGTCTTCCTGAACTTGCCACAGAGTTTTTTTTTTCTAACCTGAGCCATTATTAAAAACAGAGGGCAGAACTTTCAAATGTTGGTTCACTTATATTTGTCACTCATGGTTAATTTTTTGAGAAGGTTTTCTCCAAACCAAATGGTGATCGAAGCTAAATAAATTGTAAATTCTGAGATTAATACATTTTCGGCTTCCAAAGACATTAAGGGCTATTGCACATGGAGGGGCTATGGAATTAGTTCACGGACCAGACTTAATTTCATTGAATAGTGATGGAACAGCCTCAAAGGGCTGAGTGGCCTCATGTTACTTTATTTCTATAGGAAGAGCAAGATGCAATGTGCACGTAGTCTGGCAAGCGCAATTCTTTTTTCTGAAATCTGCCTTAAACTCATTGAAATCTAATAACAAAACTACAAAATTCTCTCGGTCAAAGAGCCCAGACTGAGACTTTTATATCCAATTATCTCAAGGGTGCCTTTTCTTTCAGTATTGCAAGAGAATGAAACCTGCCAAATATGCCCCATCCTGTCCATGTAAGGAATAGGCAACTAGAGCTATAGGCGCCATAAACATGGATGAATTAGAAGCTAACAGCTCACACTGTGAAGTATATTTTGGAAGTTTCAGTTGCTGGCCAACATTGATGGTATGTCTTGCTTTGGTCTCAACCTCCTGCTTATTGCCCCAGCCAGTATACCGTGTTTACAACAGAAATTTCCTCAGAGATCGCTCAATCTCTCACTCATGTTTCTCCAGGTTGATTTGAGCAGAAACATATGCAACAAATCTAGTCAGCTCCTTCAGCCCAGCTTTTACTTATTGTCTCCACTGTGCCCAGTGAGCTCAGATCAGCAGAGACATGAAATTTTGCTTTGGTTTCTAGTATCTGCAGTGACATAACTGGTTTGATGAGAATCGCTGAAGTTTGGGGTCCACATCAGGTGAATATATAACTCACCAGAAGCTTAGCTGTGGCTTGTGGCTTTTGTATGGGTGGTCCTCACCTCGATTCCCCATCTATACCCACTCAATCCCTGACAACACTACTCCATCCCCTGACTTAATTACCCCCAGCCCCAATCAGACTACACACCCTCTTACCCGCTAACCCTATTACCCACACTCCCGACCAGATGACACCCCTTCCTCATCTGGCTAACAATCCCTCTTTACCCAAATACCCATTCTATCCCAGTTTTCCAACTCTAACTAGACAACACATCTCTCTGAACCACCCCACAAACCTGACTATACTGTTGACTCAACTACCTATGTTTCCTATCCTGACTACCCACAATCCCCAGAAAATACACAATCCTCCAATAGTAGTCATCCCTACCAACGATCTCCCAGACCCCTAAACTAACTATCCACGACCCCCGACTCTTCACTTGCTTGCCATGTAGTTCCCCTCACTTTTTTACCCATCCCCCACTGCTTTAAAACCCTTAAGACCTTTAAATCTTACCTGAAACCAGCATCTGTTGTCAAAAACGTGCCATGTCTTTCTCACCATTGTACTCTGCACAAAGGAACTGCTTCTCTCGCTTGGGCAGAAAAATGATCTGTTGTAACTAACATGGTAGTCAGCAGTGGTTGCCACAGTATTACTGTGCAAGTTTAGATATGGTCCAATTGTCATAGAATGGAATCTCGACAGTGTGGAAGAAGGCCATTCAACCCATTAAGTCCACACCAACCCTCCAAGGAGCAGCCCACTCAGACACAATACCCACCCTGTAATCCTGCATTTCCTATGGCTAACCCACCAAGTCCACACATCCCTGGATGTTATAGGCAATTTCCCATGGCCAATCCACCTAACCTGCATATCTTTGGACTGTGAGAGGAAACCCACACAGACACAGGCCGAACGTGCAAAGTCCACACAGATAGTCACCCGAGGCTGGGATTGAACCTTGGTCCCTGGCGCTGTGAGGCAGCAGTGCTAATCACTGAGCCACCATGCTATCAATATTGACTGGAGATGGTCTGGCTCCTTCAATGCTTCTAGCCTGGATTTGCTAATGACTAGACAGTCATTTTGCGAGTGTAGATGTGAATTGCATGTGGGACCCTGTCGATTCACATCCAAAGGAATTCCCGGGAAATTTAACTTTCCTCTGGGCAATTCCCTTACACCTCAGAAACACTCCATAAAAATCAGAGACTTTGGAGGGGTTGGGGAACATTTCTTTGCTTCTACAACCTTCCAGTTGCACCCCAGAATGCAAAATGCAAAGTATTTCATCCAGGTCCATATCCTGCATCTCTGTGATCACACAGATCTTTTCACATGCTCGGTTCACTGTTGACTCCATTCCCCTACCTACTCAGCAAATTAAAATACGTTGTTCACGAATGTCACAAATCAGATACCTCCTGACTAATATTTGTGCCCTGCAATACCTTATCTTCCCTGTGCCAGCTTCATTGATATGAATACCCACCCTCCCACTTTCCCAGGTATTGGCTGGTGTCCACCAAGTGACTAGGAGCTCCCAACTTAAGCCCAAAGGCTCCCCAGTGAAAGAAGGAGACTTGCTCAGTTCCTGCACAGTCTGGCTGTTTTGGGCACTACCATATCACACACATGCCGCCACAGCCTCCATCATCACCAACTCTGCCCAATTGTCTTGTCAATTGTACTGAAGCATACTCAAAACATCAGGCAAAGTCTTTCCTATTGAATAGGGACTAAGGGAAGGTGAACAGACTTCTGGGCCTTCTTGCACGGGGTCTAAGTGGATGTTATGGGAGCAGCTTTGATGCCCTGTAAAGTTTGAAGTTCCTGCTGGTACAGCCTGAGGTGTCAGCAATGGCCAAGGTTTTCAGAACCTGTCGGTGAGCACGGCTCAGAAAGGAAAAAGTTTCATTGGATAGAAAGGGGACAGTTTTAGGAACGATGTTCGCATCAACAGAACTGAGAGTTCTAACGTAACTGACCAACTTGAGCAAAATTTTGAAAGAGTTTTGTGGTGCATTAATCCACCAGCTGAAATTATTTTCCCTGCAGTTTTAATGTTGACATGAATCCGTTTCAGGAACCTCTGTCTCGAGTTCTTGCTGTAACATGGGGGTGAGGCAGAGGAATGTATGGTATGTGGACTTTTACTGATCAGAGCTGAGCACTCAAACGTTCGCTAATAGTGAATCCAAGACAATACTAATGAGAATGACATGGTGAAGGTAGAGGGAGCTGTTACCCTGCAACAAGTGCATTCTCAAAATATATGGCCTTCATTCCACCCACTCCTTGAGAAAAAGAGTGATGATCCTTTTTTCTTGTATTCGAATTTTAAGTGATCAATTAACATTTAATATCACACTGCACAACATAAAGTTGTATGACATGGAATTTACAGCACAGAGGCAGGGCCTTTGACAAAACAGGTCTCTGCTGTCCTCCCACTTCAACTCACTCTAGCAGCAAACATATCCTCCCATTCCTTTCTCTCTCATGTACTGATCCAGCTTCTTAAATGTATCCACACTATTGATCCTCAACCATTCCATTAGTAGGACATTCCACCTCCACTCTCTGGAGAAGTTTCTCTTACCTTCCTTAGTAGTGGTTGTCAGATCTTCATGGCTCTTGTTGCTGGATTCTATTAAAAATGGGAACACCAGGTTGAATTTTTGGGCCCCTCTGATATTAGAAAAGGAAACGGCCCTGGCTGTAAAATTGCAAGGACAACAAGTGTACCAATTCTGAAGAAGGGTTGCCGGACCCGAAACGTTAACTCTGATTGTTTTCTTCACAGACACTGACTTCTGTTT